TATTTACATATAGATGACACTATTCGTTTCACTTTATGTTTTGAATATCTTAGGATGTAGGCCAGCCTTATATCTTTATAGGAGGCGGATATAATAGACATAATTTTCAGGAGTAATAAGCATGTGGTCACCTTTATTTCAATTTTAGCAAATTATTACACAAATGAAGCAATGAAAGAAGATATTTTTAAAATTTTTATAGTGATAATCTTTGCACTTAAGATTAAAAATCACAATTTGTAGAAAAAAGGAACGAAAAGTTTCTCGCCGCTGTGGGAATCCAACCCACGTCTCGTCACGGCGGGATTCGCGCCCTGACGCTCTAGCCACTAAGCTAAACGGCGGATTGCCACACCAACGAAATTCTCAACGTCCTTTATCTACATTCTTTTTTATCATTTGAAGCAATGCTTTCTAAAAATTTTTATGAAAGAAGATTTTCTCATGCCCTCTTAATCTTCAAAGGGTAGCAACGTACCTGGCGTTATCCAGAAATGTGACGTATTGATATTTTTTTTATTCGAGAAGTTCACAACGGAGAGACTGCATGCAGCCTTATGTTAAACGATTACAGCCTTCAAGGGTTGGTTTTTTCGCTCGAAATATCTATTATATTATTAAGTCGGCTAGTCCGTCCGCTGGAGGCAGGACAATCAGTCAACGGATACCAACAGGCACCTCCGCTGACTGAACACCTGAGCCTAGCTTAGCCGAGAAGCCGGAGTTGCAAGCCGCAGCAATTAATAACGCTGTAAATTATTAACTGCGGCGGCCATCTTGTGACGCTTGTACAAGTTGATGGATTATCTGACTGATACTTCTCAGTACATAGTGTACCTACTTGAAAATTTTGTGTGTCCATAAAAATAAGAATGAATGTTCATAGAAATGTGCGTGATATAAATACTAGGAACAAACAAATTGATTCTACGCACAACAACAACTACAATGTAGGTATACGTTTTCACAACAAAATCCCAGAAAACGTTCAAAATGAATCAGTAGCTAAATTCAAAATAAATTATAAAGGAACGTTTGTGTGTTAAAGGTTATTACAATATTAGTGATTATTTAAATGAAATCACTCTGGAAATTAATGAATTGGAAATTAATAAACAGGGTCCATAAAGAACTGTTTTACTAATTATCCTAACACCTTTAACTTAGTGGATGTGCAATAAATAAATAAATAAAAAAAGAATTGATCGCTCCAGGCTCTTTCAAGTTTACTAAGTTTACTTTAGTAAGTAGGTAAATTCATGTTGTTTTTGTCAAATAATGATGAAAAAGAGACGTCGCCAGTATTTTTTTTTTGGGATTGTTAATTGCACATGCAATTTTCTGAGGAAACTTTCATTATCTTAGAAATAACCATAAAAAATGGGTGGGGTTACTTACACTCGCATACTCGCGAACTTCTTAAAAAGTAAGAAGTGTAAGTTCTCACGCGCGTACATAAGTATGTACATACGTTATACTTCTTTGGCATCATTAAGAAATAGTTTTTTAATGTGATTGACCATAATATGCTGCCATCTATAGTAAGGGGTGTAGGCAGCTTCAAAGGTGTTACTTTTGTGTTACAGTGATGTGCGCTAATGTTAAAATGTCAGTCTCATCAAGTTTTCGTAACGCGCCTAAAGAAATATAACTTCAATAACGTATAATTTTACGGTGGTAGGGCCACGCGCACGAATGGGCAGGCTCGTCCGGGTAAGTACTACTACCTCACAGAAGACCGGCGTAAAGTGGAAGTATAACAAATACTTTCGCGTTTCGCCTTTTAAGTGAGATACCCGGAGCCCAAAGTTCAAAAGGTTGTTAACGCATCTGTAACCTACGGGTGTAGCAATGTTCATGGGCGGCGGTATTCACTTGACATCAGGTGAACTGTCTGCTCGTTTGGCAACTTCTCACATAAAAAAAAAAACCTTAAAAAAATATTTCGAAGACATGTGAAGTCCGCTAATCCGCAGTGTGGTTGCCTAATGGTATGCTCTAATAACCTTTGTACAGAGGAGTCCATTGCCCAGCACTGCGAGATATACCTACCTACAGGCTGTTACTTTAATTTTACTAGTATCGTGATTAAACGTCCCATATCTTGGTATTTAGTATTTACATTTTTTTAATTGTAACACAATAAAACTTAAGGAAAATGATTCTTGTTTACCCTATATTTTGAAAGAGACGTTGAGTTGTAAATTATATTTATTCAAGTAATCAAAATGATTTCAATAGAAAATGTACTCTATACAACAATTAGTCGAGAACCAAATTATAAGAAAAAAAGCTCTCGATTTTCACAAACAAATAAACTTGTCATCTTATTATAAGAGCAAACGAATTATTGCGTTGGCAAAACAGTGAATCGGTATTTAAGGTTAATCATTTAAAGCGGTTGACACTGGACCGTTCGGTCGCCATTTCGCGCCAACGCCACAAAATTTCCCGCCAAATGACCTGTGAACGAGATAGCTGCAGCCGGCACCGCATTGCATAAGAGGAAGCGGTTTAACTTCAAGGAAGATGTTTATTGCATTTCATTACTTGAGTATCATATGAGATTCACCGAAACAGCTGTAAGTTAATACTCAATAAGCTCGTAAAATTCTAATGTTAAATGTTTATTTTCTCGCTGTACGACTTATTGACGATAATATAACTACAATTCCACTGCCCAAATATATAACCACAGACAGAAATGTATAACCAGTTATTTTTGTACGTAAAACTGTTCAGACGAATTGATTGCTCATCGTGGCACTTAATTTAAATAAGTAAATGAATAGATATTTCGGTACATATTTTTACACAACCTCATTTAGTCCCAAACATAAAAAAAGCTTCTACCATGGATACTGATGATAAGTTACTGATAAACATACTTAAAAGAACTTTTCATTTATAAATAAATACATATTAAACACCGAGACAGTAGAAAAATACTATGTTCATTATACCATATTTTTCCAGTAGTGGGGATCGATCTTACCTTCAGGCGCAAGAGACAGAGAAGAGTAGTAACTCTAGTAATAACTCAGATAGTAATCCACTACGCAAATTGAGTCGTTAACGATAATTAAATTTAATTGATTGAGTCTGATGACAATTAAATTAATATTATTCTAGCTTATTTATATAAGCTTAGTTTAGCTATTAGATACAAATCATTAAACACGTTAAGCCCTCAATGAGCCTCCATTCAGTGAACTTAACAACGCACCCTCGTAATTAAATGTACTCGAGCAACCCTTAGTATGTACAATCGCTCCTCTCATGCACTAAAACCGCACCTTGCGCCGCAACACAAGTCAATGGTTTTCTATCTCACTTATCTGTGCAGCAAATGATTTGTGACGCTTTATAAAGCCGTGGGATTAAAGTGCTAATAAACGTTTTAGACAGACCAGCCCATTTAACATGACAATATCATAAACAATTTCATCGTAGAATTTCTTTTTGGGTTTTAATTGTTTTAAATTGTTCCTGTTTCACGGTTCCGTACCCAAAGGGTAAAATGGTATCCTATTACTAAGACTCCACTGTCTGTCTGTCTTTTCGTCTGTCACCAGGCCGTATCCTAGGAATCGTGATAGTTTTGGCGATATCATGTGGACCGCCAACTGCCTTAGAAGAAGAAGGGAAGAACCGTGCTAGTTAAACTTGAAATTTTCACATACGTTGCATTTCTGATGCCTTTATAAAAACAAATACTAAAAGGCCGAACGAAAGATATATTTAAGTGAGCCACCCATATAACAGACATGATTTATTTTCCGTTTTTATAGATAATAGTATGGTACCCTGCGTGCGCTACTCTGACTTGCACTTGGCCGGTTTTTTTTTTGTAAAATTTATGCAAATTGCCATTAGGGTAAATGGTTCACATGATTTAAAGTCATTTGTAACACTTGAGGGGTTGCCAACCTTTAAAATAATGTTAATGAACAAAATATTTCTCATAACTTTGCATCTTTATAAAATTAACATATTCATATTATAAAAAAATGCACTCCGGTAAACTCACTCACCAGATGAAACGCACAAACATAATACCCCCACTTCACACCGCTCTTCTATGAGACCGTTAAATTTCGCTGACGAGCTTGGCAATTCGTGAAATTCGCAGCGCTAGCCGCACCACGCTTTACAATATGTAAATATAATAATTTTATAAAGTTCAATAGTTATGAGAAATATTTTCTTCATTAACATTTTATTTCCAACATTTCTAAAGTATCACTATATACTTGTTTCGTGCTCTTAAACGTTAAAAAAGCCACCACCGGTTCACTAATATAGACCTGCCCAGATAAGAGAGAAACTGGCAAGAAACTTTGAGATCATCTTCTGTTTTTTTAAAGATATACATGAATCTGTTAAGTATCTTGTAAAAACTTGAAAGAGTATTATTAGTCCATGTAATTCCATGTCTTGTCAAATGATTGAATCCATTTCACTGAATTTTGAAAATACCAATTTAAAGAAAATTCAATCAGTGTGAAATGGATAAGTATAAAATAAGTAACAAATTGGCAAAAAAGAACTTAATAACTTAACAATATTTTTCACCACTAATCTATTGATGGAAATAAAAGAAAATTATAAAAGCGTCATCTATTCATCAACTCATGTCATTGATGTCGTACTTTCTAAATTTTTTTAACAACCGATGGCAGTAATCCAATAAAAAGTATATAACAACAATACTATAGGACGAAATGAACTACAAGGACAATTTATTTTAATATTCCATCAATATTTTCGTCGTTTTTTTAATTATAAAATTCATTAGAACTTAGTGTTATTGGAAAAAGGTATTTGGTTACGAAAGTAAAACTAAATTTGTAGAAACGGAATGTTATATGATTGAAAATGACAGCTACTGATATACAACTGTCATTTTAAAATATAACCTAAAAGCCGAAATTGTAAACAAAAACTGTTTGTTGTAAAAAAATATTTTTAGAGTGCTGGAAGTAACTTAAAACAATAAAATGAAATATCTATCACAGATATTTCATCCAGTGCTCACTATACCTAAGGATGCTGTTATTAAAAGTACTGAAATAACTTGCAAAAGTCAAAAGGTAACCAATGCTCCTAATACTTATCATATTTAATAAAAACACTACTTCATCAAATGCTAAGTGAATGAAAACACGGGAGCAAACCATTCAGGATATTATGTTTCGAATTTGTGAACGTTAAATGTCACTGATTAAGTTAAGGATTAATTTTTAAGCTCAAGATTAAAGCATAGTAAATAATGATTAATTTTGAAAATTAAATAAATCCCAACATAAATAATTTATACAGATTAAATAACCCAATGTTGTTAATGTTTCATTAATCAAAGCTAATAATTTGCTATTTAACAGCAATGTCCAAAATGTAATATTTTGTTCAGTAACATAATTATTTTAACATGTAAAAATTACAGATAACAATAAATGAACAAATATATAATATTATCTTATTTAACATACTCTTCTTATTACACTTCACATAATAATCATTAAATTGAATTTGATTACAATTTAATATTCTGTAGTATTTCGAGAGGAGGCCTTTGCCCAACAGTGGGACATGTATAGGCTGTTACTTTTAGTATTTTGTGTGTACTTTCAATGAACATGTCATCTGTTGATTTCAAGTGCTGATTGGGCAGATACTAAAGGTGAAGGTACAATCCACCTGAGGACACATGTATATCTCAAGTTGAAATTTAAAAATATAGCTTTATTTCATTGTAGACGTTGTATTGTATTACCCTATATTCAGAGGACCTCAACCTATAATCAGTAGGATGTTAGATGAGTGTAGGTCTGAAACTAGGATTATCTGTTTGGTAATAAGTTATTCTTATACTTACTGTAAAAGCTGTTTAACTATTCTTATCAAAATGTATTTCTCAGCTTCTTCTAGAATGTGGCCTGGTGCGTCCAACAGCTTCGGGGCTCTTCACGCTGCTTCCTTTCGCTCGTAAAGCGCTAGACAGGCTGGAGAATCTCGTCCACCGCTGCATGGAAGAGGCCGGTGCACAGAGGATGTCCCTTCCATCGCTGACTCACTCACGGCTATGGGAGAAGACGGGGAGGATGCAAGATATGGACGCAGAGCTGTTGAAAGTTGAAGACAGGCATGGCAAAAAATATGTATTAGGACCGGTGAATATAAGATTTATTTCATTGAGTGTTTTATAGTATAGTAACAGCCTATTTTTACATGTACATTTAGATATACAAAAAAACTCTTTCACACTCGTAACTGTAATAAGCTATTAGTACTTGAGCTTTGATCTTTACTTGAGCAGTGTAAGTTGGTACTCAATATTTTAAATACATAACAATATTTCTTTTTATTAATATTTAATTGTATTTATTTATTATACATATTATACATATTATTATTATTATACACTTATTTTGATTATTTTTATTTTTAAAGCATAACTCACTTTGCTTAGGTACTCTTTAGAGTTATTTTTTTCAGACACATGAAGAGGCTATATCGGATTTGTTGGCAGATGTGGGGCCACTTTCATACAAGCAATTACCTCTACTATTGTATCAAGTAAGTGGTGGGTTCTTCTAAGAATTTTGAGGCTGGAAGTTCACCTGAGGTTAAGTGATAACCGCCACCCATAGACATTTACAACACCCTTAAGGTTGCAGATGCGTTGCAACTTTTAACTAAGTGAGCCCCGGCTACCTCACTTCCTGGACGAAATGCAGAACTGTAACACTTCCACTTCACACCGGTCTTCTGTGAGCCTGTGGTACTTACTGACCTGCTCATTCATGAAACGGAGTAGACTGTTGCATAACCCTACTACAGTTTAAAAGATTTGGGGTTTCTAGATATTCATGAGACAGCATAATTACATTATACAGTTACAAACAAATAAAAAGTGTTCGGCTGGTGGGTGATAGCTCAGTGTCCAGGCGCTCACTTCTATTTCCATATACTCAAGCAACCCAAGTTCAAATCCCAGTGCCATCAATGAAATTGTAATTTTAAACTCATAACATGCTCAATTGTGAAGGAAAACATCGTGGGGAAACCTGCATATTTTCGAAATAATAACAAAAAATATATGTCAAAGATGCCACTGCCTGTTCCATACTTCTGTTTACTTCTTTACTTTACTAGTGGGTAAGGTATACCAGACGAGGTCTCCTCTCAATGTTGTGGTTACCGCACAGTGTTGCTTATTTATACGGTGGACCCTTGCTGATGCTTCCTGGTATCTGACCAGCGGTGTTGTGGCTTGCACGCTGTGCTCATTTACCGTGCGGTGGACCCTTGAACCCTCGATCCCCCCCTGGTGTCCAACCGCCGGAGCACCACCCAGTAGACCGTTGGCGACAGATCGGCACCAAGTACCGCGACGAGCGTCGCCCCAAGCACGGCCTGCTGAGGTCCCGAGAGTTCTCGATGATGGACGCGTACGGGGCCCACGCCAGTGCCGAGTGCGCGGCCGCCACATACAGAAGGGTGGGAGAGGCATACGGGACCCTGTTCCGGACCCTGGGCTTACCGGTGCACAGGGGTGAGGATCTTATTTATTTGCCTTTATGCTTAATGTTGCCAACGCATAATGCACTTAACTGTAATACTGTTTGTCAATAAATATATTTTCAATTTAACACACGGACAACCCGTGAGCCGTGATAGCTCAGTGTCCGGGCGCTCGCCTTTAATTCAATGTACTCGAGCAACCTGAGTTCGATCCCCGGTGCCAGCACCAATGAAATTGACAATTTTAAGTGCTGACTTTATGTGCTCCGCGGTGAAGGAAAACATCGTGAGGGAACCTGCATATTTTCGAAATAATAACAAAAACATATATATTTCGAAGATATGTGAAGTCCGCCAATCCGCAGTGGGGCCGCGTGGTGGACTATGCCCTGATACCCTCTGTACAGAGGAGGCCTTTGCTCAGCAGTGGGTCATGTATAGGCTGATACTATACTTTTTACTTTTTTTTTATGTATAGGCTGTTACTTTATACGCCCCGAGCTGAAAGCCCGGTGCCGGCACCAATGAGATTGTTAATTTTAAGTGCTGACGTCATAACGTCATAACGTTACCTTCGAAGACATGTGAATAAACTACGCCCTGATACCCTGTACCGAAGCTTTTGCCCAGCAGTGGGACACGTATAGGCTGTTACTTTTTTTTTTTTTTTTCAAAAAACATTGCCCAAATCTGAGGTTATCCTGTGCTGTAACATAACTGTCTTACAAACATAAATTTCACACGGACAAACACCCAAATGCGAAACAACTGTGTGTGGGTCACACAAATAGTCGTCGCGTTCGGGGATCGAAACCACGACTCGCGACGCCGAAGCCAATACCTGGGCGACTGCGCCACGGAGTCATCTTTGATAGTCCGATTGGATAGTGAGCATGTCTCTAGCCCCAGATGGTGTGGGTCAATCCCCGCCACTGGAAAAATGTGTGAAGAACAGTGTTTTTGTGCTGTCTGGGTGTTTATATATATATATATAACAGCGTGTCGTTACCATCGCGACAATAAATGAACACACGCCTAACGCTACTTGCCAATAATCATAAAAAAATATTAACGTTAAACAAAATCCATAATTGAAAAAATATTTTTTTCAAACAAACTAATTAAGTAAAAAAGAAACAAAATTTGGAACATCCTATACAACTCGCGCCACAGCGTCGCATTACAAGCCTCTCCTTCTAACAGTATGTTTTGTCTCTTTTAAATTCATCCAACCCATTCTTATGCTTTGTGACCTTTACAAATGAACTTTACGTTACAGTTTTATACGTAAGGGTGTTCTAAAATGGTTTGTTTTTGAAAATTTAATAACTCTATAAATATTGATGTTTGAAGAATGTAAATGTTTAATGCAATTTTAAACATTTATCCTCTATATGTGTGTTCATTTATTGTCGCGATTGTAAAGACACGCTGTATATCTCCACGGAGTCTTTTTGACTGGGCCCTTGATGACGGTAGTGGCGGCCCCCAGCGGCGCAATGGGGGGCAGCTTGTCCCACGAGTGGCAGCTGCCCGCGGAGGTGGGGGAGGACGAGCTGGCGGTGTGCGGGGGGTGCGGCGCCGCGGCCAGGGCCGACCTGGCGCCGGAGGGTACTTGCCCGCAATGCGGGAGCGGGACGGAGCGAGTGAGCAGCGTCGAGGTGCGACTGGGACGGAATACGCGGCGCTAGTGGGCTCGCCAATTTCTTAGATGTTTCTTCTTCTTTTTTAAAGTGTCGCAAGTTTTCAGATGTTCCTTCTCCTTTTTTTATGTGATAAAATGGCAAGCGAGGTGTAGGTTCAAGTGATAGTAAGTGATAACCGCCGCCGATGGACACTTACAACAACCATAGGGTTACAAAGTCGCCACCTTCTAATGAAAAAAAATTGCTTGACCCGGCTAAGGCCCACCCGCGGCTGTAATGCCTCAGATGATGATTGTAAGGACGTATCATATACACAAATTTCACGTGGACATCATCTGTGGTTCAAACAAACAGTTGTCCCGTGTGGGAATCGAACCCACGACCCTTGACGCGTAAGCCAACCTTGGCAACCGCACCACGGTGTCATCAAACGAAAAAATATCGATATATCGATATTTCGACATCTCTAGCTCAAACCGCCACCTTTTATCTGCTCTCGTAACATAACTTCAAGCTCGGGTAGACTTGTCCAAACAACTCTGGCCCCTGGTCTAGCGGAAATGGAAAGGCCTGGATGCCAGCCCTGGATACGGCATCATCCGCAGGTGGGCCACACTTTCGTCCTGGGCACCCGGTACAGCGAGCCCCTTCGCGCCAATTTCACAGCGCCAGACGCCTCCTCCACACCCCTGGTGATGTCCTGCTACGGCGTCGGCATCACCAGGTACGGCATCTAAGCACCAGTCACCAGTCCCATATCTATTTATTTATTTACTAACTTACATCAACAGCATAACATGTTTATACTTGGCAGAAATTGCTACATTAGCAATAAGGCGGCCTGTATGAACACTATGTTTCCTGTATTTTATTTCTTTATATTTCCTTGCGTGAAATAAAATATATTCTATTCTTTTCCATTTTATATGCTATTTATTTGTATATATTTTTTAAGTTAAAGGCTCTTTTTATATATACACAACTCGCGATCTAAATAAAAGTAAACAAAAAATATTTTTTTCGTGTGTGGGTAAGGTATCCAAGGGGACCTATTTTTATCCTCCTCGCAGAAAAACTCGAGTTTACTTCGACTGTAAGATAATATGACCTTCAAATTTTCGAGCCTCCATTATTTGCACATCAAAATCCTGGCAACACATTATGTCTTATTGAAATAAGTTAGGTATTTTTTTGTTTTAATACAACACTAAGAAGAAAGAGAAACAGAAACTAAAACTTCGTCAGACAGCGTGAATATTGCATTATAAATTTAGCTTTACAAAAGTATAACACGATAATTTAAATAATTGATGATATTTTTTTACAAAAAGTCAACGGTGTTCCCTCCAAAAAATGTTTTTTTTTTTTTTCACCACCATAGAGCTAGATACAGGGCGGCACAGTTCAGCCTTGGTTCTTTTTTATTTAATATTTCTGTAATTATCATTATTATCGATTTTTCATTATAATGCCTATGCCACTATGAAATTTCAGGTTGCTAGCAGCCAGCGTGGAGGCTCTGGCGAACGACAAGGCGCTGAGGTGGCCCGAAGCCATTGCACCCTATCGAGTATTGATCATAGGCCCTAAGGTGACGTGTGACCATGCAGAAATCGCCGTTACATGCGGCGGACGCAAATATTATCGAAGCATTATTGTCGCTCCGATATGTTTCGATATGTTTTGCGATATGTTTATCTGTATGTTTGTTTGTCACTTTCTTAATACATTTGTACAAACCGTTGGTCTATTACGGAATAGACGATCTGATTTGCGATGGCGGTTTTATATGGATACGTTCGTCCCACCGCAGGAGGGCTCGAAGGAGTGGGCCGCCCACGGCTGGGACGCGGTGGTGGGGCTGGGAGAGAGGCTGAGCGCAGCCGTGGGCCAGGATTCGGTGCTTTTGGACGACAAGCACGCGCACTCCATCGGACGGCGGCTGAAGGCGGCCGACAGGTGAGGCACTGGCCTTTGCCCACTGCTGGGCAAAGGCCAGTAGATAGAATACTTTGAGATTTTCGCTGAGTTGTAGATACGCCGCTTAGCTCAGTGACTATTGTGAGTAATGGTATCCTTAATTAAAACTAGAAAATAATGGTATTTTCTCTTAAGGTTATAGAAACCCTGTTGTCCAAAAAAAAGGTATGTCGAGTGTTAAACATTTGACACCTACGGACTCTATCTCGGATTCCTATTTGAAAAAATTTCGTTTTCGATACGATTTTCGATATTGAATATTTCGTATCGATATATAGGATCCTAAATATCGATATATCGATATGTTTTCGACATCCCTGCTACGGGTGTTGCAAATGTCAATGGGTGGCGGTCATCACTCAGCACCAAAAAGTTTCACTTTAACACAAACACCGCGGCGCCTCCCCTCCACCCGCAGGCTGGGATTCCCCGCGGTGGTGGTCTGCGGGCGCTCCGCCTGCCAGCGGCCGCCGCTCTACGAGCTGCACCGCTGCCGGCGCAACGGCTTCCAAGCAGCTCGGCTGCTGACGAGCGACCAGCTCGTCGCCGCGCTGGCCCGCGCCGAGCCTGTCGCCCAAGTGGGGGGAGGGGGGGGGAACTACTAATAAACAAGTAGAGTATCATTTAAAAAAATGATAGTTGATTAAGTATCAAAATACAAATAAATAAAGCCTAGTGGCGACATCTTATGTATCCTTATGAGCCGTGTATGCAAACTGCGGGTTGTCTATAATAAAAAAAATATACTGTCTGTTGCGAACCGTTTAACGTTGTTTAAATAAAAAAACGATAAAGTAATAAATAAATAAATACAGCTCTAGGATTAGGCACTACGGTGTTTCTGTGTACAGTTGTACTCTGTGGCGACTGAGGTTTGGCTATTTTAACGAGTGATAGAGTTTTAAGAGACAAGAATGTAATTTAATAAAAAATAAGACAACCTATTGTGTTTAAATTGTAAATTATCACTGCGTAATAAAAAACAACGTCGTCCCGCTATCTGTCTGTCCCTATGTATGCTTAGATCTTTGAAATTACGCAACGGATCTTGATTTGGTTTTCTTTACTGGATAGAGTGATTCAAGTGGAAGATTTATATGTATAATACTTGCATAACATAGTAGAGAAACGTAGTAAAGATAGAGAATATTTAGTATCAGCATTGCACCCGTGCGAAGCCGGGGCAGCCGGCCTAGTCCCGACAGATTCGAGTTTCGAATCAATCGAGTTTGACTCTAAAGGCCCATTTACACGGTGCCAGTTTCTTGCCTGTTGTATACAATTAAATTGAAGCAATAAATGAGTTGCATGGTCTAAACAACAAATGGTCATAACAATTATTGCGCGCAATTTATTGCATTCAATTATTGCTCTTGCATGTTCAAGAAAATGGCACCGTGTAAATGGGCCTTAATACATGACAGTTCGTACAAGTGAATCCGACGCCAGCGCACAATCGAGCGGTGGCTCCAATTGGAATTAACTAAATTCGAATAATTTAACGGAAAAAAATTACCAATTAACATTTTACCTGAAAAAGGACGTTATAACGGTAAACATGAAACATTTGTCTGTGACGTAATAGGCCGGATACAGTTGACGGATTTGATGAAGCACGCTCTTGTTCCTAAGTTCGATTCGGGTCGGGAGTAAGCTTTTCAAATCGACTTCAATCAAGAGTGAGTTGGAATCGAAAATAAAAACAAATTCGAATCGAATTTGGGGTACTCCCCAACTAGTGACCAGCCGTCTTACTAGACGGCTGGTCACTAGTTACCATCTACCTTCTTATATATAGGTTCCACTGAAAATCAGCTTTCATGAAGTTTTTTTTATTATTAAACTTCGTGAATTTAAACCTTTACAGTGGAAACCTTTTTGGTGCACTAATGAGCATAAAATATTTTTTTTTTCTCTTTGTAACTAAATTACTGTGTTTATGTCTTTTATGTATTTCGTTTTCGTTTATGTACCAAATAAATATTTTTCTTTCTTTCTAGTTATAGATAAACTAACAGACATTGTCCCGTACCCACGGCTTAAACCCGACAACAACATATAATTTAAGTAGTCCACCGAATTCTGAATCTAAATTCTGAATTCTAATGTCTTCTACGTGAATGCACACAAAATTTCATTGAGAAATGTCCAGCCGCTTAGGAGTGACATACATACGTACAGAAGAATTATATATACAAAGAGATACGAAAACCTTCCGGTTTCCTCCGGTTTCGCGCGTAGTGCTTAACCAACTATGAACATTTAACGATTAACAAATGTTTTTTGTATGGTGTTGTATGCTGTAAGGGATCCACACTAGATGGCGCCAAGCGTTGCTAAAAATTTTTCCAAAAAAAAAAACCGCTACATCATCGGCCTCATAGTAGGAATGTCAGTAGAATAAATATGTCGAAGTGAATAAAAATATCGATGTATCGATATTTATGAGTAACAATGTGCCGAATATTCTTAAGGTGATTTATTTGCACGAATGGGCAGGTCCGTCCGGGTAAGTGCCGCGACCCCACAGAAGACCGGCGAGAACTGCAAGTGTTATGCTTCTTCTGCCTTTCGTCTGGCGATTGAGGCAGACGGGGCCCACTTAATTAAAAGGCGGCAACCCATCTGCAACCCTAAGGGTGTTGCAAATGTCCATGGGCGGCGGTTATCACTTAACATCAGGCGAAGCGCCGGCTCGCTTACCACCTTCTAACATAAAAAAATATCTTATTATATATCAATCTTAAGTGCAAAGATTAGCACTATAAACAATTTAAATTTCTAAAAAAGCAATGGCGACATCTCTCGTTCGAATTATCATTGTAAAACGATATTCGAAATTGTTTGTATGCTGGAAAGGATATAACAATAGATGGCGCCAAGCATTGCTTCAAATGCTAAGAAAACAATGTAGAGGAATGCGTTAAGATTTTCGTCGGTGTGGCAATCAGCCGTTTAGCTCAGTGGCTAGAGCGTCAGGCCGCGAATGCCGAAGACGTGGGTTCGATTCCCACAGCGGCAACAATCTTTTCGCACTTTTTCTACATATTTGAATCTTATTATAGTTTATGAAATGGGGCCGTTTGAAAGAGTGTATTGCTGCAATATGTGGTCGCAGGTTCGAACCACGGTGGCGTGCTGGCCCGAGTGAAGAAAGAGTTTGCAACGAGTGACGGGCTCGTCATCTGTCATATTTGTCGTCCGTCGAATGTAGAAACAACTAGTCCTTTGTACCCCACTATCTACAGGGGAGGAGGTAGAACAGAAATAACCCTAGTTGGTACGAAGGCCGTTTTCGATTCGGATTATGGTTACAAAGATGATGACGCGTGCAGATGTTAAGGAACAGCCGTAAGTTATTAAATGCATAAAAAAAACCACTCGGCTGAATTAAAATACCAATTATACTTGTATCTCATATTCGCGAACACCATATTGAAATGACATAGCGTATGTCACTTCCACAACTAAGACAAACTTATGGAGGGTAGAAGTATATTCTCCATAGACAAATTTAATGACTGATTTTGAGTCGCAGATTTTCGTTCAGAAAAAGTTTTACTATTTCTTTGATTCTTTTTAAATGAATTAGAGAATTGATTTTTCTTATTTGAAACGCCTATAGGTTAAAGTCGGACGGAAAGACGGAATCAAAATCAAAATCATTTATTTATCGACATAAGAAACAAACATTTCATCTATCGTTAGTCAATATTTTTTTAATCCACCGTTTCGTAATGAGGTTCCTCTAACGAAGATGAAACAGGCGAAAGAAACTCCGTATCATCACTCATATATAGGTATATCTTCTTTTTTTGTCAACTGTTCCTTCAAAACATTAATGCAACTTTTTTTATATCGTTCCTTAGCTGTATGATTGATGAGGGTTGATCACTACATAGTATAAAACAGAGTAGTCCCGCTGTCTCTCTGTCTCTATGTATGCTGAGATCTTTAAACCATTATTTATTATATTCAAGTATTTTTTTATTTTATTTTAAATGTATGATACAGAAAACGCAAAACACCAGGACATAGGAACCGGCCCGGGGCTAGATGCACCGTTACGCCTCTCACCGCCAGCTGCGCCGACCTGAATGCTAAACTCTTTCTAATTTATGCCCGCCTGGTACTTGAACTTGCTTCGTGAGGTCAGACACGGACAGATGTCGAACGGGAAAAAACTGGCCACAGACAGTTATTTTAGATCTTTTATCAAACCCAATCGTTTTTTGTTATCTTCAAGCTGCGCTTTAAAAAGCCTTTTTTTTATACAAACTCTAAGCAAAATGTAGCTTATTAAATCAAATCTATACTAGTAATATATATCATTTTATAATAATAAATGCGAAAGTAATTCTGTCTGTGTGTCTCGCTTTCACTCCAAAACTACTGAACATGAAATTTTGTACACAGTCTAGAGTCTGAGAAAGGACATATGCTATTTTGTTATTGGAAAAAAGTGTTAATAAATTAATTATATATATTTTAAAGAAAGATATTTATTTAAGGGCTTCAACGCGAGCGAAGCCGCGGGAGAAAAGCTAGTTATAAATAAAACTGATTTATAGTCCGGATCCGAAACGTTACAGATTAATATACTATTTTAACATAATCTGTATTGTTTATTTAAAGTTTATAAATACATAATCGGATTGGAACATATTAGCAACCTCTTAGAAAAGTTAAAGATTTAACCTACGTGTCTGTAGACCAGCATAGACGTTGGAGTCGGAGTGTAGATAGAAAAGTTATCTCTTTTATTATTTATTGATAACTAAAAACAATTATCAGAAAATTAGAATATATAAAAACAATTTTAGGTGAGCCCCATTAATTGTTTCAATTCTATTTCAATAACCTTTTTTATATTTCCCGCCATTTTACAAGTTTGACAGTCTTTGGTTTGCAGCTTTAAAAAAGTTTAGTAAAATAAATACATATAACAAAGACTTAATAAAACTTATGTCGAATATTATTATACTTCGTAACACTATCATCATAATAACCAACACAGCATAATATGTTGAGATTTTATTAAAACAAAGTAATTAAAAATCACGATGCGTGATACTTGTTTATGGAGTTCACATATCAGATTAAAATACTTGTAATGCCAGGCATGCAACTATGTATATATTATTATCAGGTGCCAAACGAGCCAAGCGATTAGCGCCCTCCATAAACAACACTTGAGCGGTTGTAGATGCGGTCGGATTAACTATCTATACATAAAAATACTATATATACGTAAATAACTGATTAACAACCAGTCCAGTAGCGCCTTCAAGCGCAGAGAGCTTTAATTCTGGGGATCTCTGACGAATGAAGAGAAAACACATTTTCATACCTGCCTCTCTGACTTTATTCCCGACAACATGAGTTCTAGTAGTAGATAATAATAATAGTAAGTCTATGAATATCCGAAGCATATGTTAGAAATTTCAAACGATCTATGGTACATATTTGTGAAGAAAAAAAAAAGTGCGCCGAAACTAATTTATAATCTGTTCGATTTCACGTTAACGCCAAATGAAAGTAGCTGAAACTATGTGAAAGCTACCTATTGTAAATACGGTAAATTTTCTGGAATAATTTTATT